CAGCTTTACTGGATGATTTTCACTCTAAGAGCCTTTAAGAGCTTTTAAGACTTTTCAAGGAAAAGAGAAAAAAAAGATCTGATCAGATAAAAAGCATAAAAACCTTTAATTGACATGATGTAGAACTAATGTAATAGAATGAGACCTGCCTTTTCTGGTGTTAGCTTCAGATAATGTGTCGCTCATTTAATTTACAGTTCCTCAGTTTTATCAATTTGTTTTTATGCAAAATAGGGAGAATTTCCCAAAATGAGGTGAATGTTAAGAGGTTCTTCCTCTGAAGATTTGTTTTAAAACTTAGACAGCTTTTATTTCCATTTTGCACACAGAGTTTATAAAAAATGAAATGTTGTTGGATCAGACGGTGGAAATATGAACAGAGATGAACATTTTCTGCTCCTTCTAGGCTGAGATGGTTCATGCAGACATAGACAGTGCTATTGGAGACCTGAAACATGGGAAGAAGATGAGGGCTGAAACCCTGAGGTAAGAAACATGCTGATAATGCTGCTGATCTAGTTCACATTTCTATGTTTGACCATTTCTGTCACTTTGGTAGCAGCTGTTCCTGTAAAGATGTGATTTTTCTTCCTCTTCAGAGTGAACCAGGAGAAAATGAAGCGGCACAGAGAGACCATCCTCCCCCCCTCCTCCCCCAGGGGGCCCCCACCTGTGGCCAACCGGCGAGTAGCAGCCGCTGCAGATTCTCACGGTAAGAATCATGAAACCACATGTGCACTCAAAGGAAAACGAACATGTTTTAGCAGCAGAGTTTAGTTTTTATGCTCGTTTTTTTGTAATGAATCAAAGATCCTCGACTCGCTGGACCGACTGACGCTCATTTGGATGATAACCTGACGCAGCGCATTGAAGTGGATGTGGTGAGTTCTGACATCCATTAAAGGTCTTTTCTGATTAGATCATTACTGCTCACCGTTTTCCCTCCGCAGCAAATGCTCAACTGCGCGCTGGACGACATCGAGGTGTTTGTGGGGCGGCTGCAGAAAGCAGCAGAGGCCTTTTCACAGCTCAACCAACGCAACAAGAGTAAGAAGAACAAGAAGAAAGGACCAGCAGGTCTGTCGCCCTTTCTTCTTCTGTGGTGGTTCAAACCACGTGACAATATGCACGTATTGCTCACTGTGACGTGTTCTTCTCTTTGTCTCCTACGTATGGAAGAAAATCAGTCTCAATGGAATCTGCATTGTTTTGTACGCCGAATTATTAACACTGAATTTTTTTACACATTGAATTCCTTACAGGGAATTTCTATCTGGTAAAAATTTGCCTGCAAAAAAATTCAGCTGCAAATGTGTTGCTGTAGTGTTGGTGAAACATGCAAAAGTCTGATAAAGGCTCATAGGTCTGGAAGGGAAACCGTCTCATTGGAATCTGCCTTTTTCTGTTTTACTGAATTTTTTTTACACATTGAATTCCTTACAGTCAATGTTTATCTGGTGAAAATTCACCTGCAAAAAAATTCAGCTGCAAATGACGCTGAAATTTGCTTGCAAATGAGTTGAACTTTTGGTGAAGTCAAGCCAAAGCAATCTGTACTCAATGCAGTTAAGCAGCTTTTAACCAATGAAATGAGCTCATTTTGTCAGAAAATCAAACTAATTCTGCGGCCGGACGCTTCTTCCAGTTCAAACCGAGAGTTTTGGCAGACAGCGGTGTCGCTCCAGCTGTGATCGGCTCAGTTTTTTCACCCAGTCCGATTAGTTAAAAACTCTAACGGCCGTCTATTAGTAGCCGCCTGACGTTTAGTAATCATTTCTTTTTAAGAAGAAAAACTTTTCGTTCAGCTTCATTCAGCCGAGAACAAAGCCATGGCCGACTGTTGAGTCACGTGACCAAATGAGCTCATTTCCAAATGAGATGAATTTTTTGTAGGTGAATTTTCACCAGATAAACATTCAATGTAATGAAGTCAATGTGTAAATAAATTCAGTGTCTAAAATTCGGCGAACAAAAGAAGCAGATTCCAATGAGACTGTTTGTCTTCCATACCAATGAGCATTTATCAGACTTCTGCATGTTTCATCAACACTACGGCTGAATTTTATATTTTAATAATTCTAAAACTCTCTTAAATGAGACCTGGTTATGTTTCAACTGCTGACTCGGTGAAATGCGCCATAAAGGAGCTTTCATCTCCCCAGAACAGTCCGGTTCCAGACATTAGCAGCATTATATCACCTGGACTATTAATCTATGATGTGATCAAATGCTGCCCAGCAGAGACCTCAGCAGACTGCAGGTAGCTCTGAATCCAGCAGCAAGACCGGGATGCACATTTCTAACCCATGTTGCATCAGAAATAGATCAAGTTGTTGTTCTTTGGTGTCTCTGGATGGACTTTATACAGATACATGTTCTCTAAACTAGAGCCTAACTCCAGCAGAAACAGGCTTAATACCAGACCAGCTGTTAATCCTGGCTTTATTCCGCCTCATCCAGGAAGTAATGCATTAAAAAACAGATTTAAATACCAGAATATGAGATTTATACAAAATCATTTATACTATTAAATCATCTTCATCTTCGTTGTCTCTTAAGAAATCTCTAATTAATAAGGAAATTCTGTTTGTTTAACCAGAGACAACTTAGTGTATGTTTTGTCTTTTTAAATAATGTTGTTTCTACTGTAAGTTTGTTGAATGAACTGTTTGCAATATATCTATATATATATATATATATAATTTTTTTTTTTTTTAATTGTTAAAAATTGACCCCAGGAAGAGAATCGTCTCTAATGGGGATCTTTAAATACTCTGGAGAATAACTGCATCTCATCAGATGGTCCAATATATTGATAATCATTAAATCTGGAAATAATTTGTCTGTTTTTTGTCAGAGTAAATAAACAGCAAACATAAGAATTTAAAACCTGAGCTTGATATGGAGCTTAGATCAACCAGTGACCTGGAGATTGATGAACTTAGTGATAAACTGCTTTATTTCACTGCTGTGCTGAGGGAAAGCATTTAAATGCTTTC